GGATCCTGACAATTATGCCGGGATCCGCCCAGCTGCGTGAGTGACAGCTGGCTCTGCCTATCTAGAGGCAGAGCCAGCTTTACCCGCCCCCCCTCCCCCGTCCGTTCCCCCAGTCAGCGTTGGAGGATCGGAGCTGGGAATCCAGCCCCTCCCCTGTCACTGCAGAGAGCCGTGACAGGATCGAGAAGTGAGCGAACGCCGGTATGTGTTCGCTCACCTCCCGATCTACTGAGCCGACCTGTGACAGTTTCATTGAAAAGCACTCACCTCATAGTTCTTCTTTAAGTTGAATTGGTATGTAAGTTGGAGCAGGTAAATTTTTTAAGTGCAACTCCAGCCACAAAAATTGTTTTTAGTTTTGGATAGCGTAGGAAAGGGTTAACTCCCCCTGTAACGTTTGTGTTGCTGTGTGCGCACCCGTTCAGAAGATTTCACCTCACTTCCTGTCCCTGTGACAATTGGATTTTGAAAATTTCGTAGAAACAAGGATTGGTGATAAAGCTTCAGTGGAGACATCTTTTTCCCCCATGATAACTCTTGCAGGAGTGTATTTCCCTTCCTAGGGGTAGATTTTCCTTTCACTTCCTGTTGTCTCAAGGACAGGAAGTGAGATTAAATCTTTCTAATGAGGCTACAGACAGCAGTACGAACCTCACAGTGACCCGGGAAGAAGAGGCGGGCACCCCTCGCCTGCGCGTCTAACAAGAGCCAACTTCCTGTAACGGACGCTGTACAGTACTACGAACCAGACCCAAGAAGGTGCGGGCGCTCCTCGTCGGCACGAGCGCGGCAGCATTACAACGACTGAAATGCTGCGCGGTACACTTTGGTTGCAGCCCGGTACCCCCTGCTGTATAGTAATAGTAAGTAGGGGTTGTATTGTAACTCGGGGACTGCATGCATATATAAAACAGAGAAATAGATGGCGGAGCATAAACCAATAGAAATCATGCACGTTTCTATAAATAAATGCTACTATGGGTCATAGAGCGGTCACACAGGTGGCTACTACTTATGAGATAAGAAGACACGGGTTTAATGATACAAGAATGCAGCTGCGAAGAAGTGAAAGCGGTTCAAGGCCAGTTTATTCAGAACCGTCTGAAAAACACACTTTTACTTGTTCAAAATATTAACTATATACAAACTAAGAATAAAATGATTACTATCCAAAAGCCCGCTCATGTAGGGGGAGGATGGACACCAAACCCTCTCATGTAGGGGGGAGGATGGACACCAAGCCTGCTCATGTAGGGGGAGGATGGACATCAAGCCCGCTCATGTGGGGGTAGATGGACACCAAGCCCTCTCATGTAGGGGGAGGATGGACACCAAGCCCGCTCATGTAGGGGGAGGATGGACACCAAACCCTCATGTTCATTTCCAGCTCCGCTTTGCTTTTTAAGCGAAATCCTTTTAGTTCTGGGAACCGAAGCATGAAATGAGAGTCTTATTTCTCATGATCCGTTTATTGCTCTGCCCATCTTCCTGTCATTCTGAGGCTCGGCGTTTACATAGGGTGTGTTCTCCAAAGGGCTTCCTACAGTTCCCACTACCCCCTTTCAAGCTTGAGAAATGTCCCACGGAGCCAGTTCTCACAGCAAGGTATAAAAATAGGAGGAGGTTCTCCCATGCCCATGGCGCGGTCCTCCAGCGGAGGGCCAAGCTTATAAAAACACGGGCTTTGTTTAAATCAATCTCTGCCTCGTTATCGCTTCCTCAAGATGGGATGAGACTGAAGGAACCACATGTAAGACTCCTGGCAGGGCTTCCTTTATTCTTCACGATGAGCAGTGCACGTGAGGCCATAAGGCAACTTCACGTGCACAGATTTCACCACGCTTGTTCCCGTCAAACACAGCTGCTGCTTTATCCTGTTACATGTTTTCGGCGACCGAGGATGATCTCACTCTTCCTTTGTATGCGTTTCACCATTCTTTTTAATGTGTTTCTGCAAAGACTTGTGTTTTTTTTTAACCCTTTCCTGACTGGAGGTCATTGAAGCCTGCATGCCCAGATCACATTCAGCAGGGTCAGTTAAGAAGACAATACCCCTTTGGCTGATAAGCTTACCTGTATCATTTTTTAAAGCCTTCCCTTCAGTCTTCTATCTGACCTCCAGCCTCCCCTTCAGTCTTCTATCTGACCTCCGGCCTACCCTTCAGTCTTCTATTTGACCTCCGGCCTCCCCTTCAGTCTTCTATCTGACCTCCGTCCTTCCCTTCAGTGGAAGGAACCCACTGGAACCCATAGATCAAGCCGGGCAGCGTTCTGGGGCGGGACGGGGAGCGTCGGTGCCATTCATGTCAATGGCATCACAGACATGCCCCCCATCCCCAATGCGATCGCCCGCACCAGGACGCGAGGTACAGGAATGCCCTCCGTTCTGGTGCAGTGCAATCTGAAAAATAAAGTGCATGCTGCATATTTTCAGATCGCACTGCACCGAAATGGAAGGCATTCCTGTACTTCCTGAGGGGGAGGGGTGTTTGGTGTCGGCGGTGCCATTGACATGAATGGCAGCAACCGGACGCTGGCTGGCTTGATCTATGCAATCCAGTGCGTTCCGTGCTCAAACTGCACAGGAACGCACTGGATATGGTGTGACTGGTGCCTTAAAACCCACCCATCAAGGCATTTTGATATTTGCATACCTTCTCCCAAGAGCCAGTCTACTGTTTCCCCATTGTCATCTTGGAATATGCCCGATGTGCCATCAGGGTAGAAAAAAATCCCATTTATGGAAAAACCGGGTCAGTCAGTATATTCAGGTAGGCAGTAAACAGGAAGTGTTGGGACTACAGAACACATCACCTATTCTTTATAACATAGAGGAAAGATGTTCGGTAGTTCACCGAGGTCAGCTGGGCAGGGCCAAAAGGAGCAAGTTCACCTAGTTTTCACCAGCAGCACAAACTTATATTCCTTTTGTTCAACCAAATGAAGGGGAATGAAGAACGGAGGTCCCATGCAAGTCACAACACAAGGCTGTTGACTCTCTCCCCACCACCTTGTGACAGTGCTGGGCTGAACACATTGGAGTAAGGGAAGTGATTCTTATGCTCCCCTATACACTGACTCCTACACTAATCCCCACTAGAGTCATGGGACCCAGCTCCATTGACTCTAGTGGGGTCATGTGCAGCTAACACTCACGTGGTGGTCAGGAGAAGCCCGTAGATTGTAAGCTTTCTCAATGTAACGGTGATTGTGAGTGGATCCGTGTGAAACTTCTTCATCGTAAATAAATGGTGCTCAGCGCCTTTTTCGCAAGATGAAAGCCGTGTGAAGTTATGACAGTTATTGGCCATGAACAGTGATTACAGTATATAGTCAGGACGGTGATTTTGTACAATGACGCCATTATAAGAAGAGGCCCAGGAGCAGGACTCCATATTTTTGCTGTTATTATCTGTAGACTGATGAGTCAGACACAACTCTTCATTGTCAACCTTGAATAAATTCGGCATGAACCAGATTTATTAGTAACGGACATGGCGTGTTGTCACAAGACTGCCAGCGTGCAGCCAGTACAGGGCGTGTTGTCACAAGACTGCCAGCGTATAGAAGAGGTCATCGTAATTCTGATCTCCAGATATAGGAGGTCTGACGGCTACGCGTCTGTTTTATATACTGTGTATGTTCCGTGATATTTGCCCTTGTCTTCAGGGAGTGCCGGACTGTCGCCTTTCACCACTGTGGTCAATGCAGGAGATCATGCACAGTCTGCCAGGGTCAGCATTGCAATGCACATGACGCAGGGAAGAGTCTCTGACTAGGTTGTGCCCACTAAAAACATATGGTTATAATATTATATTGTCTCTGTCTCTTTAACTTGGTTCATTCTGTGGCCCATATCAACTTGTATTGGCATCTCACATACATTTTTTTCCTACCTGATAGGTTCACTATCGGGCCTCAGGGGCCGGTGCATCCACTGCCAGCTATAGCCCAGCGCAGGCCCCCCTCCTCTGCAGTCATTGGTTGTTAGAACTGCTAGTGTCCTACTAACCAATGATGTCAGGTGTCCACCTCCTCTGCAGTCATTGGTTGTTAGGGCCGCTGGTGTCCTACCAACCAATGATGTCAGGAGTCCACCTCCTTTGCAGTCATTGGTTTTGGGACCGCTGGTGTCCTACCAACCAATGTTGTTAGGTACCACCTCCTTTGCAGTTATTGGTTGCTAGGACCACTGGTATCCTACCAACCGATAATGTCAGGTGTCCACCTAATCAGCAGTCATTGGTTGTTAGAACTGCTGGTGTCCTACCAACCGATAATGTCAGGTGTTCACCTCCTTTGCAGTCATTGGTTATTAGGATCGCTGCTGTCCTACCAACCAATGATGTCAGGTGTTCACCTCCCTTGCAGTCATTGGTTGTTAGGACCACCAGTGGTCCTGGCAACCAGCAACATAAAATGCGTTCCCCGCCCCCAGCATTACAAGAGGACAGAAGAGTATCTTCTTCCATCCTCTCCTGCAGCCTGTTCCACCTCCCGGCTCCGCCTATGACCTACTAATAAAGTAGTAAACTAAGGTTTGTGGGGACAGTAATATAAAGGGGCACTCTAAAGGGGACCAACCATGTAAGGGGGCGGTCTAATCAGGACATTATCAAAACAATAAAGTGATTGTTATTAGTGAGAATTAGGTTCAGCTTGTTGGTTTGGCCCTCCACAACAGTCCCGGTTTCTCACGTGGCCCCTTGAGAAAACGAACTGCCCACCCTGATGAAAGGGAATGTGCACTAATAAGCTTTACATGCTGGGCTTCATTTTTAACAAGTCCAGCACTAGGTCTGCCTATAAGAATGACCTGTAAAGCTACTATAACTTGCATTACATGCGCACATAGGCGTGAATTGTGCGTGTACGTGACTGTAGATGGGACATTAGATGGTCATCTTCTTTGTTGGGACTGATGAGAATGGTGGAGTGTTCTCTTTGCAGTCCTATTTAACTAAAATATCATTAATTTCATGTATTTTCCTTTCCATCAGGAGTCTCCTCAGGACAGCGCCATCACACGTGACATCAACAGGACATTTCCAGCTCACGACTACTTCAAGGACACCGGCGGGGATGGACAGGACTCTCTGTACAAAATCTGCAAGGTACCTCATGCGGCCCCCGCCAGTAGAGTGGGACGAGTGATGCACTTTAGTTGCAGTGTGTTGTAGGATTTGCATAACAGGTGGAGTGTGACGTCTGTAACGAAATAGCATTCAGGTGACAAGTTTCAGGTGACAGTTTCATGACCTTCATTCTGCACTGTAATCCAACTGTAGTGCCCCCAATTCTTTAATTGTACCTGCTGCACTGCACAGCCCCCCTCCCCCCCCCCCCCCCCCAGGCTGTGCAATGTGCAGAAATATGGAGCCCGTGACTCATAATTCACATTGTACCAATTCATTTATTGAATTCGGAGTCCTTGAGCCAAACAGGACTGCACCATCTCATCTCCTTTATGTCAGTGTTGGTGCCGCCCTGCCAGCAAAGGTTCTCTGAAGCTGTATAGATGTTGGCCAATTCTTGATGCATCAGACAAAATTCACTCTGTCGGCACTTATCCGTCCAGCATCCTTCAATCTGAAAATCAAAGATAGAACATCTTCGGGTGAACATTGATGGTGGCCATTCGCGGTTTGAGTATTCTGACACCGGCACACCCGCTGCTGTTCGAATACAAAGGACGCAGCAGCAGTAGATTCGTCTGTCCACGCTGTGTAGTGCGGGTGAAGGAATCTCTTTTATTGTTTTCTCATTCAGCCTGAAGGTTGAACGAAAGGTATGGGCAGCTTCTTACCAGTTGATAAGGACGGCTGCCCTACCGGTGCGACCGCACTGCAGGTTTTCATCAGCGTGCTCCTAGGCAGGGAAAGGAAACTTAGCATATTGATCACTGCAGAGAGGACGTCTCCCCACAACACACTGGGCTGCAAAGGAACATGGGAGTTGTAGTTTGTATGCAGTGGCGTAACAATCACCATATCGACCCAGGCGGCCGCTGTGTGGCCCGGCCAGATGCCGTGCGGGCCTCCTGGGTCGCTATGGTATCCTCTGCTGGTGGCTGTCACTGGCGGCTGAAGGCGAACACGCCGCTGTTCGGATCACTGACCGTAATCTGTGCAACAGCGCGTTCCTCTCCACAGAGTCAATGAGAGCCAGCAGAGGCGGTGGAGCAGGCTGGACCCAGGAGTGAAGGAGGAGGCGGACAGGTAAGGAGTGAGACCAGCCTACTTAAGGGTGACCTTGCATAGCCCACCATAGATAGTCTATGGTGGGCTATGCAGGGTCACCGTCAGGTGGGATCTCGAGTGGGCTCTGCAAGGGGTATAACTAGAAATCACGGGGCCCCATACAAGATTTTGCTATGGGGCCCTGTGATTTCAGGTTACGCACCTGTATGCAGTCATAAAAAAAAAAAAAGGTGCATTTCAAAAAAATAAAATGTGTGTGTGCATGCGTACACATATGTAGTGCCATGGCTGAATAAAAGGTTGAGCAATGTTGTACTAGAGTACTGCGTATCATAAACAACCATTTAAAGAATACGTCTTTTCCATCCTTTTTGCCTCTCTGCTGATCTCCTGCGGCCTCTCCCCACCCACCTGCTTGTGCTCCATCATGGACTGCATGGCATTTCTCGTGCCGGGTTTCCTGATGGTGACCTTGGTGGATGATTCCTTCACGATAAGCATCAACATGGCGGCTTGGAGTGAGCCAAGAGATTAGCTATGTATATGGAGTTGGCTGTGGATAATATGATTTGTGTTATTGCCATTTGCTGGAAGTTTTGGAGGAAGTCACGGATCATCCATCTTCTGTTGTCTTCTCCTAGGCCTATTCTGTATACGATGAAGAGATTGGCTATTGCCAGGGACAGTCCTTCCTTGCTGCCGTTCTGCTGTTACATGTAAGTTTCTATCCCGGCAAATCTTTATTATTATCTTGTGACAGGTCGGGTTGTATGAATAGCTGTTGTGTATCTTTGCTGATGTGTAACTATTGTAACTCATACTGATAGACCCGGCATGACCCCCCTGGGGGGGGCTTGTTTATGTGGGATCACGTGTCTGGGAATCCGCAGTGTTTATTTAGGAGAGATCCGGCAAAGTCTGACTCAGGAAGCTTGTCTCTTGTCTGCTCCCACAGATGCCTGAAGAACAAGCCTTCAGCGTCCTGGTCAAGATCATGTTCGATTATGGGCTCAGGGAACTTTTCAAACAGAACTTTGAAGACCTGCACTGCAAGTTTTATCAGCTGGAGCGCCTAATGCAGGTCAGAGCAACAAGACATGGAGGTGACGGGTCACAATTTAATGTTGTAGGTGCAAAAAGTGCATACACAGCCAGTCATGTCATAATGTTACACCATAACTGAACCCCATATACATAAGATGCCCTGATCTCTCTAGTGAAAGGGTAGGCATCATGTGCACTCCAGCTGCGGTGACACTACAAGTCCCTTGAGACATTGCAAGACTTGGACAGCCACAGGCATGACTCCCTCTCCCTGTGGGGGTCATGGCTGTGGCTGTTAAGTCTTGCAATACCTCATAGAGGTGTTGGTTGCACAACAACTGGAGTGCCCAGGTTGCCTACCGTTGGGTTTGGCTATAGGGAGAAAGGGATAAGTACTCATCTTGTACTGGAGTGCCCGGGTTGCCTACCGTTGGGTTTGGCTATGGGGGGAAAGGAATAAGTACTCATCTTGTACTGGAGTGTCCAGGTTGCCTTCTGTTGGGTTTGGCTATGGGGGGAAAGGAATAAGTACTCATCTTGCACTGGAGTGCCCGGGTTGCATACCGTTGGATTTGGCTATGGGAGGAAAGGAATAAGTACTCATCTTGCACTGGAGTGCCCGGGTTGCATACCGTTGGATTTGGCTATGGGAGGAAAGGAATAAGTACTCATCTTGTACTGGAGTGCCTGGGTTGCCTACCGTTGGGTTTGGCTATGGGGGAAAGGAATAAGTACTCATCTTGTACTGGAGTGCCCAGGTTGCCTTCCGTTGGGTTTGGCTATGGGGGAAAGGAATAAGTACTCATCTTGTACTGGAGTGCCCAGGTTGCCTACCGTTGGGTTTGGCTATGGGGGAAAGGAATAAGTACTCATCCTGTACTGGAGTGCCCAGGTTGCCTTCCGTTGGGTTTGGCTATGGGGGAAAGGTATAAGTACTCATCCTGTACTGGAGTGCGCAGGTTGCCTACCGTTGGGTTTGGCTATGGGGGAAAGGTATAAGTACTCATCTTGTACTGGAGTGCCCAGGTTGTCTTCCGTTGGGTTTGGCTATGGGGGGAAAGGAATAAGTACTCATCTTGTACTGGAGTGCCCAGGTTGCCTACCGTTGGGTTTGGCTATGGGGGAAAGGAATAAGTACTCATCCTGTACTGGAGTGCCCAGGTTGCCTACCCTTGGGTTTGGCTATGGGGGAAAGGAATAAGTACTCATCTTGTACTGGAGCGCCCAGGTTGCCTACCGTTGGGTTTATAACACAAACCTGGGATTATTTTATTTATTTTTTTATTTTTATTAATTATTTTGTTTCTTCCAGTGAATAGATGTGTATTCGGCTTCCCTCTGTAATATGTCACCTGTGCACAGTCCTGGTTTATTTGGCAGATTCGCCGTCGGTTATTATTGTACACCGGCTGTAAATGGAAAGCTTTCCCCGCTGAAGTTATCATGAATTATTTGTCCAAACCAGGCACAGCTGGCGCACTGCAGACCGGCTCACTTCCGTGTCTGCTTATCAGTTTGTGCAGTCACCCTCAGACATTCCTATTTGCCGGGTCTATTTTTAGAGCCTGCGAAGAAACAATGTCCAACTTTATAATAAATTATGTAAGGATTTGTTTTCCTCTGCTTGGTAGGAGGCTAACAACGGGCAAAAGGAGTTCGCTATCGGGACTGGTTGGAATGGAATCTTTTAAGTAAAGAATGGATTTTAAATGGTTTATTTTCTTTATTTATAGTACATATATGAAAGTATTTTCAGGTGAAACTCGAATAATTAGAATATCGTGCAAAAGTAATTGCAGTAAGTGCTGCAAAAGGGGCCCAAACCCAAGTACTGAGTACATATGCATGCTTGTACTTTTCAGAGGTCCGACATTGTTCTATGTACAATCCTTGTTTTATTGATTGCATGTAATAATCTACTTTTCTGAGGTTGTGGATTTGGGGTTCTTGGGGTTTTCATGAGCTGTAAGCCATAATCATCACAATGATGACAAATCACGGCTTGAACTATCTTGCTTTGCATGTAATGAGTCTATCTCATATATTAGTTTCACATTTTAAGTTGCATTAGTGAAATAAATGAACTTTGCACGATATTCTAATTATTCGAGTTTCACCTGTATATGAGGGATGCACTGATATCATTCCAGAACGAGTACGAGTACCAATACTTTTCCTCACGTACTCGGCGATGCCAATTACCGATACCTTTTCTTTTGTGTGTCATGTGACCGTTTTTCTAACACAATACAGAATAAGGATTTTAGGACAGGCGGGGGGACACCAGGACCCAGTCGCAGCTCCAAACTATGCAAACCTGGTAGTTCTGCCACTAACTACAAGCTGTCTCAGCAATACATTATATAGCAATGCAGAATGGCACTAGCTATAAAAGACTACAAATCCCAGCAATACATAATACCAACAGCTATACAGGACTACAACTCCCAGCAATATATTATACAGCAATCAAGAACAATACTATCGGCTATAGAGGACTACAAATCCCAGCAATATATTATACAGCAATGCAGAGTAATACCATCAGCTATGGAAAACTACAAATCTCAGCAATATATTATACAGCAATGCAGAGTAATACCATCAGCTATGGAAAACTACAAATCTCAGCAATATATTATACAGCAATGCAGAGTAATACCATGAAAACTGACATCTGATTGGTTACAACGAATTATTACACGACATTGCTCCTTCCATCATATTCTCCAATGTGCTTAAAGCAGACCTCACACAGAAGACCAGGTAGCCCCTCTATTGTACTACGCACAATTGTTTGTTTTTTTTAGTTACTTTCTGTGTAAGTCTCTTTTGCTAAAAAAAAAGCTCCAGCAATTTTTGTTTTCTATGCACTGAGCTAGACTTACAGGCTCGCCAGGGTGCTGTGCCAAAATGATGCAACTCCCATGAGCATACGTGGTTACATCATGACGGCCTGGCCAATCACGCTGAACCCAGAAGAAGACTGGGCAAAGCTAAAAGAGCCAGCAGTGGATGGGAGAGCGGGCAGCGCTGGAGGGGATCGCTTACAAGGTACGTTGGCCATAATGTGCTGGTAGGCTTGCATGCTAGCACATTACAGTGAAAAACTTCAGAGGGCTTTTTTTTTTAAGCCATTTAACTTCCGCTTTAAAGGCACATGGCCATCTGCACCCGTACAATGTAAATTCGTCCGTACCGCCAGGGGGACACAGGTGCTGCCTATTGCCTCCCATATAAGTCAATTACTATACGCAACCATTGACGGCATCCAGGGTCATACGTCCATTCACAGGTGTAGGGAAGTAACAACCTATACCCGTCCACAGCTGAGTACATTCATGGAGTTATATTGGTGACTGTATGCAGCAGCCGTGGTTCCCTGGCAGGGGAGATATGGCAGAATTGACATTGTGCTGGTGCAGACGCCAATGTGTATGAGCGTATTAAAAAATACTTTTGTACAGGTCATCTAAGAACTGGTGAAGTCATTTAAGGCCTCCCAACAGCGGCACTCATCCAATCTTCTACTATCTTGTACTCACCGGATCATTAGACCTCAGGGTTACCAAGAAGTAACTCCAAATTTCTTATATGTCTATATCAGAGGTGTACATTCAATATTACCAGTAACTAACCTGTGCCAAACCACAAGGAGTGAGACCACCATTGGAAGGAGAAGAAGGCACTCACCGGTTACCGGATCATTAGACCTCAGGGTTACCAAGAAGTAACTCCAAATTTCTTATATGTCTATATCAGAGGTGTACATTCAATATTACCAGTAACTAACCTGTGCCAAACCACAAGGAGTGAGACCACCATTGGAAGGAGAAGATGGCACTCACGGGATCATTAGACCTCACGGTTACCAAGAAGTAACTCCAAATGTCTTACAAGTCTCTATGAGTGGTGCACATCCAATCTTACTGATCACAGCCCTGTACACTTCGACCCTTGGGTGGTGCTGTTCCATGGGGAGAGAGGTCATATAGGGAAATACGCCCGCTCTATCACGCCACATCTTCTAAACGCAGCTAAGTCCTTAATTCCAGCTAAATGGAAATCTACGTCTCCCCCCTCTTTAATGGAATGGCTTAATAAGGTGGAACAGATTTACCGCATGGAAGAACTCACCTTAACCAGATTAGACAAAAAAGAGCGACTCTACAAAACCTGGGCCTGCTGGTTAGCGTATAAAACAACTCCCTCTTATCTAAACAAGGTTCCCGTAGCTGACCCATGATTGCACTAAATGGGTACTAGCGGACAAATTATATTGATGTTCACTGTAAAGCGATACATATGGTACTAGTATGCAGATTGAAAGATGTTGTCAGCACGGGGGTTGTAAAGACCTCATAAATTAAACATTATACTTGGAATTATCAATAATTGCTGGAATAAATGCAAACTGTTTAATTAGGTATGATCCTACCTCCCTCCTCCCATCCTTACTTACCACTCACCCACCCCCCTTCCCCACACTTTCATTTTCTTGCTCCTATCTGATCTAACCCATATCCTTACTTTTCCTCACTTTCTTCTTTTTTTTTTTCAAGCACCGGGAAACTACTTCAGGATTTGAATGTCTGTTATTACTTTAGAACATCGGCTAGGATTGTGAATCCTTCATGTTATGTATTCTGTAGTGCTGACCATCATCCTGTGTTGCTTGTATGTCTTTTCATATGTCTTATAATAAAAATGTATTACACAATCTTACTGATCACTAACCACAAGGAGTAAGGCCACCATCAGAAGGAGAAGATGGCACTCACCGGATCATTAGATCTCAGGGTTACCAAGAAGTAACTCCAAATGTCTTATAGGTCTGTATCAGTGGTGCACATCCAATGTTACTGATCACCAACCACAAGGAGTGAGGCCACCATCGGAAGGAGAAGAAGGCACTCACCGGATCATTAGACCTCACGGTTACCAAGAAGTAACTCCAAATGTCTTATAAGTCTCTATCAGTAGTGCACATCCAATGTTACTAGTATCCAAACTGTGCCAAACCAAAAGAAGTGAGGCCACCATTGGAAGGAGAAGATGGCACTCACCGGATCATTAGACCTCACGGTTACCAAGAAGTAACTCCAAATGTCTTATAGGTCTCTATCAGTGGTGCACATCCAATCTTACTGATCACCAAACCACAAGGAGTGAGGCCACCATTGGAAGGAGAAGATTGTATCAATAGACCTCACGGTTACCAAGACGTAATTCCAAATGTCTTATAGGTCTGTATCAGTGGTGCACATCCAATCTTACTGATCACCAAACCACAAGGATTGAGGCCATCATCGGAATGAGAAGATGGCACTCACCGGATCATTAGACCTCACGGTTACCAAGAGGGCAGAAGGATCCTTCTCATTACAACCCTCCCAATGATACCCTTCTATGATTCCATGCCCAGACCACAAGCCCCTCCAGGAATATCCACAGTGGAGAAGCTCTGGTCTGGACGCCATCGAAGCATGGAAGGATATCTCCAGGATCATTCTAATGAGGATCCTTCTCTTCTCTTCTGAGGTCTAATGATCCCTTGAGTGCAATCCAATTCTTCCCATGGTGGTCTCCTTCGGTTCGGTTATCAGTATCATTGGATGGGCACCTCCGATAGAGACTTTGGAAGTTTTGGATTTGGAGTGTTTATCATCTTTGCTGCTGTGTATTTTGCTTTCAGTAGGAGAAGTGCAAAGTGATTGCCAACTGACCCGCTAAGGAAAGCCGAGGGTCTGATATACCCCCAGAATATGCTGCACAGGACTACATAATATACCTACCTGTGTTGTAGAGAGGAGGAGAGTAGGAAGAATTCTATAGTATAGCAAAAGACAGCTGGGCGGGGCTGACACCTGTTTTTGAGCTTTCAATCCACACAAGGCATTGTGTTGGAAATAAGGATCTGGGTTTGATTTGGTATTTTTCTGTATTTTGAAGATCTTTAAAAGGTAAAAGACGAGGAAATATCGCAGAGATGTACTGCATGTGTTTTAATAGAAGAATTTACATTGGGAATGCTTCATTTGTTTTCTGTCTTTTTAGGAATATATTGCCGACTTGTACACTCACTTCCTGGAGATCAGCTTGGAAGCCCACATGTATGCGTCCCAGTGGTTCCTTACTTTATTTACTGCCAAATTCCCACTGTATATGGTCTTCCACATCATTGACCTGCTCCTGTGTGAGGTAGGTACAACCCGTTCCTCTGCACCCGTCTATGACCCCGACAATACTCTGGATTTCCGATGTCTTCTATGGTGATAAAAGGTGGAAGGGGGACTGTGTAGGGGTCACCATTCTGCCAGACTATAACTGGGGGTGCATGCACTGGGAAAGTTTAGGTAAAGTTCGGTGCAACTTATATGGATAATGTACAATCCTGCACTGACCCCTGCTGGTCAGACATGATACTACAACTGAAAATATGTTTTTCATTGAATAAAGTTAATACAATACAGTGTGTTCCGGAGTATGAGACAATAGTTATAACTTCTGAGACCGCAGCAGTTTTAGCTCAGGTTGTATTATGAGGATACACTGGGCAGGCTTTATTTTCTGTAATAAATATAAGGCCTCATTCACACACGAATCGGCCTGCACGTACAGCTGCGTACCAAGCAGCTGCGGGGAAAGACAGGTGCTGCGTGTGGTTAGTACGCAGCCCCCGCCCTTCTCTATGGGGATACGCGGCCGCACGCCCCCCTACGCTCACCTCAATTGCAGGTTCGTAGGGGTGCGGGTGAGCGGAATGGATCTTGTATGCGTCCCGGCCAGAAAACCCGCACCCCTACGGACTTGCAATTCGGGGGGGGGGGGGGGGGGGAGCCGACAACAGGAT